GAGCAAGACCGCATGTCAGCAGGCGTCTTCATTTGGCCGTGAGGGTTAAGATGACTTAGTTCCGTAGCAGAGCGGCTCACCATCACAGGGGGTCACACCTCCACGCTCCTATTCCAGTTCATAAATAAAGGCCGTTTCTGTGCGTTAGGCCACTGGGATCGGAGAAGACTGCGAGGAGGCTGCGAGGGGGGTAGTGCATCAATATTCATGAGACATTCAGTAATGACAACCTGTCTGAGCTAATCCCTCAGACAGTCTTATCTAATAGGTCCCTTAATGCTGCTTGAGCGAGACACTGTCTGAGCCGTCTTTCTGAAGGAGTCATCACCGGCACAAGCTTCTCCCTTAGTGAGGGTCCTGCCACAACTTGTTGCAAACATTGTCTTCTTTGAAACCTTCCTTTACTCTCACAAATGCCCAGAAGGTCCAGTCTTCTGGCTATCGTGCAAGGTCTTAAGCCATCATAAGCAGGTCTTCCAGAAAAAATCCATGTACAAGAATTTAAACTGTAAAAGGATTTGGCTCCTACTTTGACCCAAAATGGCGGACATCACAAAAGTGTTGCATTTAACCCAACCCCTACTCCCTCCCCCTCTACTGGCTGAAATTATGAATTATTCTACATTTCCTTGATTTTAGCATCTGAAGCTAATTGTTTCATTATCAATGTACAGTAAAACCTGCAAAAAATTTTTTGCTCATCTTGCAAAACACTCGCAAACCAAGTTACTCGCATTCCGAGGTTTCACTGTAATACTTTTCAAGAATCACAAGGACAGGCACCTGAGCCCACCTAAATGTAACTCAAGCCTTCCCACTCAGCAGTCACAGTGAGTATGATAAAACGATTGTGTCTGACAGGTTTGTGTGTGCGTGGTCAGATCAGTCGGCGGGAATGTACTGTTGAAAGGCTAATAGATTTTTCTTTCTTTTTGTTCACATGGTTTTAGTAATGCCACATGTGAGTTAAAAACTGATAAAGAAATGTGCAGTTGTGTCTGCAGTGTGATTCTCTTTGCGTGAATTGTTATGGGATTGCCCCCTCTGATTTTCTACTGCCCCCCCAGGCTATGCTTTCTGGCTGAGGGTAAATTATGTTAACTGATTTTAACACAAACTGAAAGCCCATAAATAATTAAACCAGTAACACTGGCTGATTGTACTACACAGAGATATCGGTAGCCTATAGGCTAACCAACTAGTTATGTTAAACCAGGGTTCCCCAATTCCAGTCCTGGAGGGGTAGAATTCAACACAGTTTTTCCTGTCGAAACCCAACTACTAAACCTGACAATTAGCTAATTTCATGCACACTGTGTTGGATTCCAGTCCTCCAACACTGGAATCAGGGAACTCTGTGCTACACAGTGCTTCTCATATCATAAGCTGCTACGACTTTAAAGAATGATTTAGTAATTTTCACAGAAGAGGCTCTCACCTTGGGAGTCTTCAGCGTGAGTTCTTTTATCCATCTTCTCTCACTGCACTGAACCTCGGATGAGGGATCAGCGTGGGAGCAGCTGATCTCAGTGCCTTCGCCAAAGATGCCAATCAGCCACTGTGGGCCTTCACGTCATGCAGAAAACCCTCGACTGGTAGCTACTGGCCTGTGTTTTCCAATCATACAGCTCTATTAAGAGACCACTCTATATTTTTTTAAAATCTGCATTTTTAAATCCTGGTTTAATCCTGGTTCAATCCTGGCTCTGCTGGCAGAAGGCTACACTGCACAGCAGGCTGCTTATAAGCCCAAAGTTTCCAATGCCAGTGATGACCATGAACTTATCCGGCAGTGCCTCATAAATCAGAGGATGACCTCAAGTGACCTTGAAAAAGAATAGGAAACATTAAGTGGTGTGAAGTGCACTGCTAGGACGATTCATAACAGGACTGAAGACTCATAAAGCAAGGAAGACACCCTTCATGAATTAGAAGCAGGGAAGAGCCAGGCTGCAGTTTGCAAAATCATGTAAATTTTTCACAGGCGCAGACCCATAAATTGAGAAATGAGTGCGACTGAAAATTTTGCTGTGGTCTCTCAATTTTTTCCAGAGCTGTATAAAGCTCCCCAGACAGTTATATCCAAGGTCCTCTGTGTTTATTCCTATCAGTATATAAAGTAGCCATATAAACAGTTATGCAGTAAAAAAAACAGAATAAAATACGTTCAGATAACTAATAAATTAATACACCCTGTAAATGTTTTAGCGATAGCCGCTAACACTGTAGCCTGACAGTAATTAAGTAAATACATCCACCTCTCTGGAAAGAGCCATGGAACAGCGCAACAGCTGTTACGGATCTCCTGGGGACCATTAAGCATACACATAATGTCAAACCGTAATGGCGATGTTTCACAAGCCCAAACACAAACATTAGCATCAGCCCTATATAGCTGTACGAGTCTCAGTGTCAAAGGGAACAGCTCGTTATAGAAACGGAGCTCAGAAAGGAGATACACAACATCCAGGTGTGTGGGCTGCGACTCTGGCGGTTAGGATGCTGCACCTGACCTGTGACGGGAAGGTCGTCAGATCAAAACCCAAGGATGCCAGAGTGATTTCACAGTCGGGCCATTAAGCAGGACCCCTAGACCCAATCATTTCAGGAGTCGACTGACCCTACTTTCTGAAAAATGTGCATTGCTTTGCTTAAAAGTGTCTTCCAAATAAGTAGAGTGTAAATCTAGGTACCTTGGGCTAGACTTGTAGCCCAAGATCACATGAGTATCCCTCCAGACATCGCAATGCCAGAAGAGCACACTGTTTGAGCTGAGGCTACCCAAGCCCAAGCCTTCACTAAAGATGGCTGCTATTTGTAGTGGTGCTTCAGTGACCTCCTAGGCCTGCAGTTCCCACCAGCAGCTGTGAAAGCCTGTTACAGACTAATTACTGGGTTTTTTGTCAGATTATACTCAAGTTCATATGCTGCTTGAATGTGTCTAGCTTTACTTGTCATATGTACTTAACAACTTTGCCAAAGAGCCCAACAGCAATGTGACACTTCTGCCCAGGATGGGATGTGAACTGATAACCTTCTGATTACAGGTACAGAGACCTTACCCACCGAGCCACATACAGCCTTTCTTTATGCATATTCATTATTTCATATTAATGAGTAGTTACATTCTTCCTTAACATGAAAAAATATTGATCTCTAGACAGATAACAATAATTCATATTAAAGTAACATGGACTATAAGGATTCTCTGCTTTTCTATTTCCCTGTTTTACTTCCCAGGGCAAACTACAGTTGTGTAATGTAATGTCAATGCTACACAGGAATTGCACTCATCATTTCCACTTACTCGGAATCTTCTTAGAGATCCGCTTATCCTGATTTTTCCTTCTTGGGAGTACAGAACCATCCAGATGAAACAATGACCACGGTTATTTTAATTTGTCATAATTTTCCCTTTTAGTTACCTGTTCCGTCTGTCACTAATGTATGGCTTTTATACTCTTTTGAAAAACACATCTTTACAGAATAATGAAGCCACATACTTTTAACCTATGCTTCTTTGCACGAGCAAAATGCACAGTGCCATCTTGCGAGCTCGAGGTGCCAGGGTGAGCGCTTCTGTTCCCTGGTGTGACATTCACACCCCGGCCGTCTCTGTCCTTGGCGTGATGGACACCTAGAGCCTGTTTCCATGAGAAGCCCAACAGCGATCGTATAGCCTCGGTGTGAATTTCACCCCTCAGCAGCCAAACTGCCCCCAAACACCGATCTGAATCAGCCACTTGAAGACACACCGCCGGCATTTGTTTCATTCCTGGTATCGATGTTCCCCCCCCCTTTTGCTGGAGGTCCAGCCAGTCTTGCGTGACTCCCCATTAAAATTCAAGGGGTGTCGCGCCTGCCTCTCCCTGGCTGCTGACCAGTGCCCGCTTTGGCCCGCTGTCACCCAGGCCGCCTCTGCCTGCCTGCCACACGTGTTCGCGTCCCCCGCCTCATCGCCAGCCAAGGGCGGCCGCTGAAAAAGCCCCTCTTTTCCCGAACGGCCGCGAGCCGCCACTGAGCGCACGGTGGGGGTGGGATAAGAGGCAAAATAAAGATGTCTGCTGCGGCCAAAGCTTTAGATTTTTCATGTATTGTACACACCATATGTTTGTATGCTTTCTTACAGCAGCAGTGCAATATGGCAGAGGCTTATTTATGGATAATATTTTCCCAGCGAATACTCACATATATATTCCTTACGCTTATGCTATATCTAATCAGAGGTGGCAATGTCAGGTCCAGAAAGTACAAATCCAGAGCAAGATTTTGTTTCAACCAACCAGTTGAGTACTCTGTGACTGTGACTCTTTATGCTCAACTGGTTGGTTGAAAGTAAATCATGGTCTGGATTTTTACTTTCTGGACCTGATATTGCCACCTCTGTATCTAATTCTATGTTGATTGTTATATGTATGTATATACTTATGCGTGTTATTTATGTCATGGAAGAGGCTGCCTGTAAGGCTTTTTGGACTTGCATAAACCACTTGCACAATGACAAATAACAATCCCCGATCCTTGAAAGGGGAATTGAAGCTGGCTCGATGTTAGAGCCCGATTCCTTTACCGGATTCTCCCACGTAGGATGGCGTCCCACATTTGACCACGTGAACACGACACAACGCTGTTCACGAACCTTCCATCATTACCAGACAGGTTCTTTGGTTTAACTGACACAGTCACTCAGTATTTACATCTTTCGCCTGAACTAAACACGATTGGCCAGCTTTTCATACGTTAATAAACATCTCAAATGTAAATGCAAGGCCCCTGAGGTTATTCAGAGTAAAACGCAGTGAAGGTTCGCGTATTTCCCCAATAGGAGAAATAGCGCTCAATTTCACCATCACCTATAGCAGATGAAAAGCAGGATAAAGAGAGAGAGCAGAAAGCAGCCTGCGATCATCACCCTCCATCCTCAGTGGCAGGGTGCAGCCTTTAAAATCAGCACACAGCTGGATTGGAGCGGCTTGTGCAGAGACAATTCTGCTTCCCTCCGACCACTGAGCCGAAAGGATTTACCTCCGAGGATCTACGTCACATTCCAGGCAACCATGGCAACGAAAAACACAGATGCAGAGGTACCCTGGCCCAGATAGTGGGGATGGGGAGAGCGGGAGCTGTGTGAGAGGGCGCTCACTGTAGACAGACATTTTGATTTATTCTCTAAAAATAAAACTAATGATGCTGATATCAACTGACAGCCCATTTGGAATACGTTACTACAAACAAAGTCCTTTAATATTAAATGTGATCATTATTCATCACATGAAAGCGGCACCTGATTATCGTACAATAAAACCAAAAGCCGTGGTCAAAAATCCAGCTCAAGGACAGCAGACTGGGCTTACAGAGATAAACGATCCTCCAGGGAAAGGCTGCTTAGCTCGGAAAAATGTCTTTGTTTGATAGTCAGGGTTGGACCACGACATGGTTTGTGGTCTGATGGAGAGGGAGAGCGGCTGAGTGGGGCCCTGATTGGGGCAGCCAGTGCTCTGCATCAAAGTGCTTTAAGCGATGACACCCTCAGTCGCTGCACTCTCTGAAATGAAAGGAAAGGTGACAGAGAGACGGGGCTTGAATTATGTCAACACAGGCCATCGTACATCAGAAGCCTATGAAAAGCAAAACAAAGACAAATAAACACAGGACTTTGCATATTTATTAATCTGTGTCTATGTATGATTGCTTGTCATGTATTATACAGTATTACACAGCACTATGTCTGCTGATGGTGTACATTAATAATGCCTTGTGATGCAACGTGCAAGGAAACGTGGAACAGGATGTGATGTGTTATAAGGTGTTAGAATACATTGTGTCTGTGCGACGACATACATTAACAATGTATGCCGTATGAAGTAACCTGTAAGGAAATGTGGAAAGATGTGATGTGTTATAAGGCATTAGCTTCATCTAGCACAGGGGTCTTCAAGATGGGGTTGGTGGAGGAACTGCAGGGGGTCTGTGAATCATTGTGTAATGACAAACAGCTTTTTGTGAAATTTTATTAAACTATAAATGTAATATAAACTCTAACAAATAATAAGCCAAACCACTGATAAAAAAAAAACATCACTGTAAACTGCTCTGTGAATAAAACATGCTGGCTTGGTTGTTCAGCTCAAATGTTGTTGAGCAGGTGTCCTGCTGCAACAGTAGAAACTAATGTGTGACCGTGCATGCAGTATGTTAATGAACACAGGCTCATAGCATGTTACAATGACAAAATGCATGATGTACAGCGATCCACCTGCAGTCTAAATCACATGACCAGTGGACATTAAAATGAGAAGAAACACTATCCACAGCCTATAGTGTTGGCTGAGTTACCTGAACCACACACACACACACCTTAAAAATTTATGTAGTGAAACAGAAATGTACTGCAAGAAATGTAACAATTACAATTATGGTTATAGTTTTTCCATCAGAACAAAGTAAATAAATCGGTTAATAGGTCATTTATATTTGTTAATGTATTCCTCAATAAACAGGTTAATATAGTTAATGTTCATGTTAATACAGGCCAAGCCTAACCCGTAACACGACTTCATAACACGTAAAGAGGGGGGTCCCTGCTCTGTCTCTCTATCCACCAAGTGGACTCTGGCCTGAGACAAGTTGAAGACCCCTGATCTAACCTTTGAACGAATGTGGAAAAACATCATTAATGGGACTAAGTTCAAAATGTTCACTGTATAGTTGTTTTCATGCACAGAAAGTGGAATTTGGGACGTAATCAATGAAATGTGAAACTCACCTGCCCAGTCCATGATCCGGGTCTGCTTAAACAGAGGCATGTCTGCGACTTTCGTAAATGACTGTTTTTGATAAACACTCCGCTAAGGTCAGCGACCAGAAAGAAATCCAGTTGTGTTTTTTAGGAGAGCATTGCCATTCAGAATGCTGCACCGACCCGCCAAATGGCCACATTCCTCATGTTCTTGGATCTTCTACACGCCTGCTACACGGCTGTTCCGTGATGGGGGACACGGGGTCTTCACACCTGAACAGGGCATAGCAGTTGTGAGCATGGTCATGCCAAACAGTAGCATTTATCTGAAACAGATCCATCTGTATGAAGCAGCTAAACAGGGAGCCGTTTGCACAGAAGAGAAAGAATCAGATAACTGCACTACAAATATGTGTGATTGCTCCAAACCAGTCTTTCAATGAGTTCTGTCTATACTGTTTAAAACTATCACAGTAATCAAGAGTGTAAAGAGTATAGTGCCACACCACTGGCCAACATGCAGTGAATGTGAGTGTAACTGGACAACATGGAGGAGATGTCAGGCAGGTCAGCCTCCTCCATCGCTGTGCCACCCTTGGTTGCAGTGACACTGCCTATTTCACTGGACATAATACGTTTCCAGCAGATCACGACCAGAGCAGTTCAGCCTTGATGTCATCTGAGACAATGTGAGTTTCCACTAGACTAGTCTGGTCATACGTGGTTCATTTCCCACCCATGCACTTTATTTCTCAATCCCATAATGCATTTTATTATACAGATGGATGGTGCATGACCACCAATCTCGTGCTTGCATGCCTCTTCTCCAGGCACATAATGGTATAGATGTAGGGCTGTCTGTTTTCGGGCCATGCTCCCCAGGACTGCACACGTCCGTAGCTGCACTCACAGGCAAGGAGAATGTTGTGTGCAATGTGGACGAGGTGTCACATCCAAACCAGAGGCAGGTTTGCAGCCCGAGATTCCTTTTCCCCATCGTCCTGTTTGGTTGGTGCAGTGCAGTATCTGCAATTGCATCGCGTTGGATATACAACACTTTGAAATCCAGTGTTTTAGAAAAATGATCCTGATATTATATTCGTCGAAGCGTTACCGTAGCGATCTTTCATCACAGGCAACTGCGCGCACTGTACCACTGAACATGCCGATGGCGTGAGGCTACCAGAGAGGGCAGCGTCGTTCATGGAGCACATCAGGGTCTAGTTGCTTCCTAGGATGATCAACTCCTGCAGTGTATGTATGTGATGCACGTCATTCTGATGCAAAAATACCGTTTGAGAAGAGGTTGCTTAATTTTGATTCCAGTATTTAATTCTGAAGGGGAGAAAGTGAGCCACTATTTCAGAAAACATGTCAACATTCAAGAATACCTGTATTACTCTGTGTACTTTGTCACAGCACAATGGCACTATGTCACCCTTAGGCTCAGCTGGCAGGTTTGCCACAAAGAGGTGCCAATTAAAGGCGTGTGTGCGAAAGGGCAATTGCTCACGGTTTCATTAGTCATTGCTTGATGTGTTTTGTAACCTCCCCTTTAAGATGCGAGCGACCAGGGGGGGGGGTGCATCCTCCCCAGGCGCTGCCATTTATAGAGCGCGGTGGAAAGCGGGCACGGCACGCCGTAGTGACTGGCATGGACACTCACTCTCTCCGGCGCGCTCCTGCGTCTCGCGGACAGCAGATGCTTGCCCAGCGGAGGGGCAGGAAGTGGGCAGAAGGCCGCACGTCAGGCACCGCTCTGGGTGGGGGGGGGACCCATGTGGAGGCATGCTTAACAGACCACCCTGCTGCTCGCGACTCTCCTGTCCCTCTCGGCTGCCGCTGAGGTTGAGGGGACGCTAAAATGGGACCTTGTAGGTAAAGCGATCCTTTTAAAAGTGGTGATGGAAATACAAAGATCAAATCATTTTATTTTCTATTAACTTAGTGGGCTCTGCTTTGTTTTTTCCAGGCAGTTCCTGGAGCAACTGGTGGTTAAGGGCTGCTCAAGGGCCCAGTGATGGGATTTGACACAGCGACTTACTGACCATGCTTCACAGACTGTCGGTATTGGATTATGAAAAATACACAGCTTTGAAGGAGAAGCCAATATGAAGTTCCTGCAATGGTCATTAAATGTGAGCGTGTGTGTTTTATGTTTATATTACATCGTGGGGACCAAATGTCCCGCACAATGTAATAAAAACCTGTTATTTTGACGTTGTGGGGACCATTTTTCAGGTCTCCACGAAGATCTGTGAATGTAATCAAAAAAGTAAAAATGCCGAAAGTCACGTATTTTGAGGGGTTAAGGTCTTCATGTTGGGATTAGAGTTTTCCCCATAGAAATGAATGGAGAGTCCCCACAAAGATATACTTACAAACCTGTGTGTGTATAGAGTAGCTCCAGGCCGTCCAGGCATTGTGGGACCATCCCTATCAGACAAACATTTATATTAAGAAAAACGATGTATTGATTTTCATCAGTTTGCTTTGGGGTTACAGTGTTTTTCAAAATAAACTTGGATTTAATGGGAAATCCCTTTAAACCTGGCTGTCTGAATGTGAGTATGAGTGTGTGTGTGTGTGTGTGTCTCCCTCACTGGCGGGAACCGCTGCGGCCCCCTAACTGTCACCCGAGGGCTCACTGTGAAGCAGCTGAACCCGCCCAGCCTGGTCCAGCCCAGCAGGGGGCGCATTGTGTATCTTCACAGGGCTGGGGTTGCTTGAGGAATGCAGCCCCCAAATCCCGTCTCCTGGAGTGCTGGTGTGATGCCAGAGCCAAGGAAAATGCTTGCTGGGTGACATCAGGACAGAGAATTTGTGGCTTTGCCCGCTGCCCTGGCGCCGTTTCAGGGCTCTTCCCTGCCGCAACATCAACACCGCGGTAAGCGTGATGCACCAAGGCTGGATAGAAGGCTGAGCCCGGCAATGGCCTCGTCCCCACAGCCATGGGATATTCCTGAAAACCGCCTGGAGCTTGGAGAGCGTCCTCGGGACACTGACGGCACACTTAAACCCCCCTGTTTTGTCAGGGATAATCAAGAATTCCCATCTTAATACAGCCTTTCAAGAAAATCCTGCCTGGAGGCACTAAGGAGATCAGAAACAGAGACACTGAGCTGAAAAAAGGGAAAACGAGAAGCAGGAATGAAGCCCAGCACTAAAGCGACAGAAAATTGCAGTAATTATATATTTTAAACTGACATGAGCATTCAGATCTACAGTGCAGATGCTCAGCAGGCAGTGAGGATTCTGGGAAAAAAGCGGCACCTTAACAGGCTGTTAGCATTTTTGCTTTAATCCACAGCTGATGTGTGGTATGAATTTCAGCTCTGGATGGATAGTCGGCGATCAACAGGCTGTTCTTTACAGAGGTTAGTAGGAAGCAAACCTGTTAACAGACCAAGAAGAACAGTTTTAAAGCCAAAGTCTGCAGGTCCATGTTTTCACTGCCGATGCTGGTTAATAAACAAGCCCCCCCGGTTCAGAGTCCTCTCAGCTACACCTTCATTTGTCTGATTTCTCTGGCAGATGGAGGTGGAGGAGCGGAGGGGCAGAGGAGTGAAGGAGTGACTCCTTGCGAGGAGAAACTGGGCATCTTGGGGGAGACCCTCATTATCAACCCCCCCACCCCACCCCCTACACACACACCACACTTTCTCCTCTGAGGTTAATTAATACCTCTGAAAAATTAATGATGTCAATCTGCATTTGGTGGAGAAGTGGCAGTACTCAAAGGAGACACACACACACACACAGTCTCTCTCTCTCCTGGTGAAAATCTGTTCGCCCACAGCAGCTGAGCTTGTCCGCCCTCTATGGGTCATGAAGACTTTCTGGAACCTTTCTACCAGGCATCTGAAATGATTAACATTTATTTGTTCAGCTAAAAATCCCAGGACTAATTAATTGGCCGTAATGAATTTCCTGTTATTCAGACGCCCATCCAGCAAACACCGTATGAACTCACTGTGTCTGCACCACCGCCAGCTGTTTAACATCTCCTAGCTAACAACGAGTAGGAGGAGGAGGAGAGTGAGGAAGGAGTTTATGTCGCAGTTTGACAGGTGGCATCTCAGGGAACGTCAAGTACATGCGTGCCAAGGGACCAGTCACTTGCTAGGAGTGATTTTGGGAAGATTCACATTTTCAGCTCATCAATAAACACAAAGCTTCGTTACGGGGCATTGATGCACTGAGAGCCATTCCCCACAATGGCCCCACAATGGCCCCACAATGGCGTCACACGTGACAGAGAATGGCAAAGGTGATACCGTCTGCCATTATTCTGGGTCCATGCTTGTTGAATTACGTACACACAGAATCATTTCTTCAGGTCACTAGACAAACTGCAGTGTACAGTGCAGCTGCAATTTTTCTTTGAATTTTGCCATATACCATAAAGGATGAATGTATTTCATTTTCGGCTAAGCCAGAATCACAAAAGTTTAATTTTAAAAGAATATCGCTTTATATGAACTGCTTCTTCATAATGCATTCATAGATCATTCAGTGCACCTTCATAATGCATTCATAAGTAGCATGTAAGTATACTATAACATTCCAATATCCCTTAACAGCTTTAAAAAAAATTAATAACAAACATTATATGATTATACGATTACAATGTTTGTTATTAATATTTATTACAGCTGTCATGTCTAATTCTAAAAGTATTACAATGTTTTGAATGCATTATGGATGCATTATGAAGTTGCAGTCAATGTAAAATGTTAGCAATTATTCTTTTGAACTTGTTACGGACTTTTCTTGTCCAGCATTTAATTCATCCTACATGAGTTTTTTTTGTCCCAGCACATCCTTTAAGTGAAAGGGGTCAAAGGTTACATACCTGTTGATGTTCAGTAAAGATCTATGATCGTGACAAAGTGTCTAAAACCCAGTCATAAGCCGGCGGCTCTCAGACACTCTGTATCTGGGGCTGAGGGTTACAGCATCATGTTCTGACACCTCGATGCTCTTTGTAATGAACATAACTAGCAGGTTTCATCTACAGAAGCTCACCAGCATCTGCATGAGTGCATTTCGTCCACCGTTTGACGTGCGTTTTGCACCCTCTAAACGACACAGAATTCTAGCTAAATGGAGGCAGGTGTGGCTAAAAAAAAAAGGCTCAAAGGACTGTGCATAGATGCCGAAGGGCTTTAAACACCCCGGGCCATTGGCCCAGCAGGGCGGGTTAGCGGATTTAACAAGATGCGACTTCATTAAACCAAGGAAACGAAAACAACGGGAGCACACTCCTACTCCAGCCCGACGCGCATGACCGCTGGCCGCTAAACCGTCTGCCGATATAACCAACGCTTACTGGGACTGCTTTCTTCAACCAATAAAGCAGAAATAAACGTGCTAAGCAACATTAATGCTTGCGACATGCTTTACGAGTCCTTTTTAAAATAATAATTTCCCCTGCCTTGGGTCATCTCATTTGAAACGTCGCCACGGAAACCCCAGTAACCCCTTTCTGACTTCAACACGGTGGCGTAGTTGTGAAACATGCCGCGTGAGCGTGAACAGCCAGCCCCGCGCCGTTTCCATGCCGTTCGGTGATTTTGGTACGGTTTCCCTGCTCACTGCTGTCATTATGCGAGACATTAACAAAGAAAACAGGGAAATATGAGCAGCGCAAGTCATTTTAACAAGCCAATTAATCCTTAATTACAAAAACATTTCCGAGCACTCAGAACGGGAGGCATTGCGGCTCACGCTCGGGAAGCGAGGAGCAAAGCGCGAAATTTGTGCCATGACTGTAAATCATCACGTCGCATTTGCCGGCTTTGCGTTTTGCTGGGCGCCGGCTCAGGCAGAGCGGCCGAGCCGCCGACATCCCGCCGTGATAATTTATAACCGAACCGTGATCTTTGCCGAGGCCGACCATTTAAGCTGACGGGAAGCCTGCGGCGAGGGGCAGAGCCCAGGAAATGAGGAAATGGGCGAGGCTGCGCTGCTTCGACCTGGACGCAGCACACAGGGCAGCCCGCATTTCAGTTATTCATTAATAGCGTGCGGGAGCACCGAATCGGAAGGCCGGGATGAAGATGCCCTCTGGTGGAAGAATCAGGGAAATGCAGGGGAGTGATACTTTAACAAAAGCCCCGAGACTGCAGGAAGCAGACTGTGTTCGGAGCCACAGCTGGGCTGCCTGTTTCCACTAACGGCACCTTTCCCAAGCAAACTGACCACAGGATTCATGTATTTTCTCTGCATGATGGAGCAGATCATTAAAAAGGCCTATAAAGGGCCCGGTATTGACCTGCCGATATCAGCATCAGCTGCTAATGGCACACTGGTGGAAAAATCCTGCCTTATGGAAGGAGTGCTGAGGTTGGGAAACACTGCAAACAGGGTAGCTCCTGTCCCCAGGAACACAGCAACATCATGACCTTGCTGAAGTCTTTGTACCAACAGCAAGAATAAAATGCAGCTGCTCTGATAAAATGGACACAAAAATGGGCTCCAATCGATCGAGGTGATGGTCCTCGGCAAGCACAGCAGCTGTCATCAGACGCGGGCCACGTTTTACGTTCTGTTGAGCCTGTTAAGCGCCCCCCTCTGCCGTGACGCATCTGCAGTTCGCCCCATGAAAGCTGACCCCTCCATACAGCTGCCGGTTTAGCAAGACGAACGGGCTCCATTTTGGCAGCCCGGAAATCACAGCCCTGTTCCAGGTCTGCCGCCATAGAAACCGGCCTCGTTAATTACCTGGAGCCGTACCCTCGTCACGTACAGACCACGCATCAGGGATTTTGCTGGGAAAAGCCTTACGGGGATTTGCAGCTCTGTTCGTCTATCTGTGCTGAAATCCTCTTGAGGTTTGCATGTATTAAATCTCAGATATATGGTTTTGGATGGTCCTTGTATGTTTCTGCATCCAGAAAAGGGGTTACGGATCCTGGAATTTCCACACATCCCATCCAAGGCCATAGAGAGAGGCATTGATTTCCATGTAAACCAGGACCAGAGCAGTGAATATGAAACAATCTTGCTTCTCCTTTGTGGAATACAAAGGTCATTTGCATACATCTGAGATCCACTTACTTTTCGCCCGAGATGAAGCAGCACCTTGATTCCTCAAGAGTCAGGAGAGGAAGTTATAGGTCCTGAAAAAAAAATGCTAAAACTATTACACCCCTACACCCAGCTAGCAAAACAATTACTGTACAAATGAGTTAAACCACAGAGGATCACTGTTAATGTACTATCATGTACAATTACAATAAAGAATTGAATCTTGAATCTTAATGAACCTTAATGGTGTATTTGTTACCAGTGATGGTTATCCAAATTAAATCAGTTTATTTTTCACATCACAGGTGAGCGGAAAAACTTGACTGCAAATTCACCCTGCCTCAGGAGAAGACGCTGTAGTCATGACGACGGCCTCAGTGCCTCTACGGTTAAACAGGACTTACGGAGTCATCAGCAAAATATTTCACAAATTAAAGAATGACAGCGAGCCATGGTGCGCCCCCTACAGATCCTTTCTATTTTTGAGAATGAGGGGTCAATTGGGGTTAAGGGGCTGTCAGTGAAACACTGCCGATTTTGGGATCACAGGCACAGCATCCTATCATGCTGAGCCACACAAAGAGAGGCTGTACCAAGACCTTAAGCCCAGATAACACAGCACTTGGGATCACTGAAGCAGAAAAATCCCTCGATCAAGCTGAGGTCACAGCTTCCAGCTGTGTGTATAATGCAAGATCATCCCCTAGAACGACCTAGAATCTCTAGTCTTGCAAAGTGATGTCTGGTCTGACCTCCATGACCTCCACTAGCTGAAGCAGTCTGAAGACTCGTGAAACAAACATCTGGGAGGTGATGGGGACCCCCGGGACCTCACGAAGAACATGTGCAAGCAGGAAGGTCAGGTGGACCAATGGAGACATGTGGCTCTGAGCCCAGAACCAAACGGCACAAAAAACAGCAGAAACTGCAATGTTTTTACATCATTTTTCTTTATTTCTGAAACACAGTAATCCGGTGACAATCTCAAGATTATGCAACAAATATCGAAACAAATGGTTTCCAGCACCAAACATTCTTTGAAAGGGTCATCGGCGGGCTCTCCTCCTGGTTCTGCGGTCTGCAGACCCCCCTCCTTCCATCAGTCCGTCTTAGAGGGCGGGGAGCATGTGGTCTCGTCTCTGACGTACCGTCGCTCAGTCCTGAATCTTCAAGGCAAACCTTCTGGTTGGTCCCACATGTGAGATCTACAGGCCTCAGCAGTTGAAGACCTGACATCCAGAGGCATCAGCTCAAACGTGTCAGATTGCAAACTTGCTAAATATTTTTGGCACAGATATTTATATATTTATTCATTTATTTATATATATCAAACACTATTTTACAAGAGTTCTGTTTTTTGCCCCAAACACAAGATCAGAAGCTGCAGTCCTTAGAGCCTCCAGGGGAATGGCTGGGATCCACTGCCTAAGACTCATTCACAAGTACGAGCTACACTATATACAGCATCCAGGCACATACCAGGAATATATGAGCATCTGTCTCCTAGCAGTGCTTCAGTCAGTGAATAAAGACACACAGAGATGTGGAAGAACTCCTTATATAACATCATTTTGGTATTCCAAGAAATAATTTTGTTGAAAGCTTTCAGCACACCTTTCAAAGAAAAGCCATTTGTCTCACAGCCTAAGGAATCATCCACCCATCTTCACCGATTAATGGTCCACATTCCGGAACTTTCCAAAGCGTTTTCCGATCAGGAGTATTTAATAAAATGTAACCTTGTGCAGAATAAAACAGCAGCAGCCCTTGGTGTGTCTTGACCTGCTCCGAAACTGATAGTATACACATTTTAAATGGATGAGCTCTACTCTGATTTCACATAAATTCTGCTTTTTGGGCTCTAGTTCAAGGAAAGGTTCAGTCAACATGACTCCAGGTTCATTTAAAACTCCTTTAAAAATATCTAAGAGATATTGGGTCCAGGCAATAAATAAAATAAAGTCTTCACATTGGCATAGCTTTGCAGTGGCGAATCGGTATTCACCTCCGAACCCAACAAGCTGTCCGTCTGCACCCTGAGCTTCACTGCTTGCTGCTTCAGCTTCACCACAATCCTTGCATAATCAGAAATGAAACATTTTACAGCCATTTCCTAGGAAGAAACGACGACCACAGCTCCAGTCATTCAAGTCTCCCTGAGCTCATTTTAACCTTGGTATCTTAACCTGTGGGTTCCCTCATTATAACGAACTGTTTCAGGCACCGGCACATTGTTAAAACCCTGCAGGGGCGCATGCCTCACACCTCCTCACTTCCTCAGGCTACACAAAAAACACAGTCCAAAATCCACATTTGTTCCACAGACGTACGAACAGCTTCTGAAAGCATTTGGGGGGGGGAACTATCCAAAAACAAAACAATACAATAAAAAAAGCCTAAACAAAAAGCCAAATCTCAAAAATGACCAAACAATTCTAAAAGCAAAAACAAAAGTCAAAACAAAAGTACAAAAAAAAAACAAAAACAAAAAACAGACAAACAAAAAGCCACACAATAAAAGTACACTGACCATCCAGTGACACATGACCTGGGAACGCAGTCCCCTTCAAACCCAGCTGTTTAACTTCAGCATACTGCCACAGCAGAATAACAGCAGAAGAGTCCTCAGCGAGACACCCAGCTGACTGTTAGCACTGTCATCGCACCCTCCTCCAGTCTGTCATCTTGCAGGTTTCACACTTCCATTGTTTATAAAGACATTTAATTTCAGCCATAAATCGGGTCTTTGGCCTCACTCTTAACATGTGGGTAGTTAAAAGGCCTATTTCCTTATAAAATGTGCCCTATGACAATAACAAACAGATTAAGGATGGAGTTTGTACCAGATTTCTATTTCCGACTGTTACCTTCCTGTCTGGTTCTGATCAGTCATCGATACGGAAAATAGCATTTGGCTGATAGCGGTGATCGCAGACCCTAATGCGTTTCGCCAGCTGTTTTTAAAATGTAAAAAGTTAAAAGTTTTGATTAAATTCAACAACAATCCCACCCCCATAGCATGAGAGAGATTATTTCTGGCCAATAGCTGGTCGGCTAGCGGACTGAATCCTAAACAAGACAAATGGACTTCAGTGGGTGCTGCTCTTCTGCATTGGCCATGGTTGGAAGGCAGGCAGACCAGCACATGAAGCCCTCAGAGATTAGTATGACCAGCAAAACTGAAACAGATGGATTATCGGAAGGCGGCGTCACATACAGTCTGACGGTGGGAGGCACCCCTTCCGGGTCTGTGGGGGGGGGGGTGAGGAAAATCTGCAAAGTCATTGCACTGCCAAAGCGACACAAAGCCACGGGTGACTTACACGAGCCAGCGCAGATGAACAGAAGATGGGCCGAGGCCCGGAAGCTTCCGAGTGAAGTCCAAGCACAAGTAGAGCATGCACTATGCTATGGATTAATGGGGGGAGGGGCATCCATTCGGCCAGGTGGGGCAGGGAGGGGCGGGCCGGGGCTGGTAGGCCAGGCTTGATCTCCTGCTTGTGTCTGGGTGTCTTCAGCGATGGGGGGTGTGTGCCTGTTTCTCGTAATGAGGGGGGTATCTGCACAGTGGTTGCCCATTTCCCGGACAGTCACTGTGCCTGAAAGAGGGCAGAGGGCAAATATTTGTTATTCAAATGATTCATCAGTGTCTTGTAAGACAAAAACAGTAGAATAATCACGAGAAAATCTACAGGAGACTTACTTGGGTCGACTCCTCACGTCCTATTTCTGCTTAACCTAGAAAGTACAGAGGAACATGATGCGTAATGTCACAGACTTCCAGATGGTCATATGAAACACGATACACGGAGTGGCAGTGCAGGGCCCCTGAGGCTTGGGGGCCCTCTGTTGGTCACAAACAGTCACTACACTAAATATTAACTAAAAAGACACACTATAGCAACACGTTTTGCTAACTGGCTAGCTGGACTCAATCTACTGATTCTACTTGCTAGCTATTTCTTTAGGTTTTGAAACATCTAAGAGGGGCCCAAAGTGACTTATTAGTGGGGCCCCAGAAGCAACAAAACTGCCCCTGGTTACAGGTCCCACAGCTGAAACATGGGGTCTGGTCAGGTGACTCTCCTCAGACATGCTAATGCTACAAAGTAGAACACAGAAGGATGCTTTTATCTTTGCAGCGTGAGGACGGTATATCTGTCACACCATGTGGGGAAACATATGCGGGAAACAGCAAGTCACAGGGCCGAGCGCGAAAGGGAATCTGCATCCGGATCCGCCATATTAACCCCTTAGAAGAACCACTAAAAGTCAGCAGGCCGACATCCATAAAATTCATAACTGCCAGGAGGTCAGAAGTCGAGCTGGAGGTACTGCGAGGTACAAAGACCGGCCGCTTTACAAAGGGGGCTGCTGCTCAATTTAACGAGACTGTAACGAGATGCCGGACGAGACCTGGCCAGTAAACCAGGCGACGCGTTTATGACGCCCGACCTGTTCTTCAAAAGCTTGCAGTTTATGTTCGAAAGCAGCAACAGGGCTGGAGAACTTTCAAAATCAGGAGAAAAGTTTGCTGTTACCATACGTAACAAAAATGTTGCCAAGCATCAGGTTTAATCGGCAGACTGGGCTGCTGATATAAAGGCTGTATTGCAGACAGGGAGCAGAGAATGAGCCACGCTCTGACTCACCCCGGTCCTTCCCATTCAGCATCTTCTCCTCCTCTTCCTCACAACCGTCCTCAACTTCGTGATCAGAGAGAAAACGAGTCACAATTGGCAGCACGGTGGCACTTCAATCAGCCGGCGAACATCATCACACATTATGCTAATTTATCCATATGGTTTACTTTGTGACGTTCATGTTTGCTGATTAAAAACATCCATCGGCTCACTATCACAGGACGCTTCCTTGCAAAGGACTGGAACCATTAAAGCAGACTTTCAGCTCCATAGCTGATATCAGGGTTTCGGGAGTATAGTGGCAGTGACAAACAGTGACATAAAGGCCACGGAGACGTTGACTTTTACAGTCGGCTTTTGCTTCATATTTAGACCGAAGTGCAGTTTCAGGAGCTCAGGGCACCACAGAAGGACGGCCGTACCAGAATGAAGCTCTTTCACCAGGGACGACATGGTGTTTGTGATAGAATCGGCCGCGACTAACAGGTCGTTACGAAGATTTCTCCTGGGACCTGGAAGGCAAAGAGACCGTCGGTAAACAGAAGACCTGAGGATGAGATACTTTGGAATCAGGAACCCGCCTATCGGATTTTCATAGCGTCACAATGAGCCGTTACAATCTATAGACCAAATGCGCTCATCAAACACGTCAGCTTCCTGCTTCCATGCAGCTGGGTGATGTGAGGAGACACAGCAGCCGGTCTGTTTACCCTGAGCGAAGGCTTCCTGGACGTCCCCTCCCACGCCTGCCAGTGAGTCCTGGGGACCGTGTGTGGGGGTGGAGCCGGCGGACGTGGAGCGGACCGGCATGGGCAGCGGACGGCCACCACCATGGCTGGGTGACGTGTGAGGAGAGATGGCCGCCTGCGCCTGACGGACAGGGAGACGGTGGAGATAGATCAGGGTGCAGTAGAAGACAGACTGAGACACCATGTAGTCCTCAGGAAGCATCATCGAGGAAACGCACCGACACGTGGCTTTGTCCGCAGCTCGCAGGGCATGCACGACACCATCAAAATGCGGACTCCCGCAGCTGAAGCTGATCAAATCTGCATATCACTGAAGACTTCTAAATTCACTAGCAAAGATTATCACATACGCACAACACCGCAGCTTATTAAATCCGTGCATTACTGGGGCTTGTCAAAGACACGGGTCACTGAAGGTTGTCAAACGCACGCACCACTGCAGTGTATAACATTTGTGTACCTTATTATTATTAAAAGCTTAAAGTCACAACTGTAAAAAATGCAAGACGGATCATTTTGTCTGTCCAATCTGCAGCATGCAAGAAGAGGATTGTCACGTGACAGATGACCAGTATGAAGAGGAGTGGATAGCAGCACTGTCACAGAGAGACCAGAGAAACCCACTGTCACGGAGAGACCCACTGTCACAGAAAAACCACGGAGAAACCCACTGTCACGGAGAGACCCACGGAGAAACCAACTGGTCACGGAGAGACCCACAGAGAAACCCACTGTCACGGAGAGACCACGGCCAACAGCAGCAGTGCACAGAAGGCAGTTGGTTGGTTTCCCTCAGGTACAGACTTAGAAATTATTCATATACAGTGGTACCTCGGTTCTCCAACTCACTAGAACTCGAATTTCTTGAAAGTCAAACAAACCAGTTTGACCTAGAACTCCATCTGAATATCAGAAGTCGAACCGTGAACGCTGACCTAATATAAATTGTACACGCCAGGAAATGAGTCATACTACAATGCAACTCTTACTTGAATGCCTTCTTAAAAGTTCTTTACAGACTGGACGATTAACCGAATAAAGCAGCGCAACATTAAAGTAACTAACAATAAATAAACCACTAACTTACGTGTGCTATTAGAGCATTTATGTAATTTATTTAAACTTTATTTTACCAGGTAAATTAACTGAAAACCAGTTCTCACTGCTTTACGTGATATTCGGGAGAAATAGCAGATTACGAATCGGAACTGCCTGGGATACAAACATCATGCGTGTAACTAAACTCTTCAGCCAATAAGGGCAAAGGTGTGTCGTCACGGAGGCGGTTCCAGTTTGTGCAGCCGGGTGAGAGGTCGCACTGCATCTAACCGTAATGCATTGCGTCAGGATCAGAATTGCGTTGCTTTAAGTCAGGACTGTAAGCAAGACGAACACACCCAATGACCGGACTGGGGAAACAAACTGAAACGCGGACTTAATATAGAGGAGTAGTGACAACAACCAGAAACAGCTGATCACATGGGGATCCCACACGATGTTAACGAGGGGGCGTGGCACACGGAAGGAGTGGACGATCGGGGCAGGACAGGGGTAATGTTGGGATAAGATCTTTATCGTTTTGGAAGCCATTAAGAAAGAAATGCTCTTTTTGTTTTATCCTGTTCATTCTGTGTTTAAATGCTTAAAAAAAAAAAAAACATATTTAGGTGTAATTTTGGGGGGCCGGAAACCAATTAATTGGTTTTCCATTATTTATTTCTTATGGGAGAAATTCGATCAGAACTCGAACTTTTTAGGATTCGATCAGGAGTCCGGAACGGATTAAGTTCGAGAACCGAGGTACCACTGTACTTCAATAAGCCAGTTTACCAAACATTCATAACGTTAGATTTCATCCATTTAAATATATATATATATATATATATATATATATATATATATTTTTTTTTTACAATGAGTCTCTCCTATCTTTTCCCAGAAGTAATAGAAAAAAAATGTCCAGCAGAATCCTGAACAATAACTGCACTCAGCATATCTAGTAAAATCAAGTCCCATGGCCTGGGCTGAATTAAAACCACATGCAATTCATATGTTTTTAAACATTCGGTTGTAGGATTATGAATAACAGAAATGCATGTTTGCGCCCGGATACAAGGACGTGAGATTTGCAATAATGATTAAGAGGATGGAAATCACATCACGACAGTGGGGAAGCAGCAAGAGCAGAGCACAAAAGCGGGTATCGTGTGGATGGGGGGTGAGGGGCTCAGGTAGCACAGGAAACAGAGTTTCTCGGGCTCAAGCCCATCCCCCCACCCCAAAAGTCCCACAGGCAGGTGGAGATAATCAGGGGTGACAAACTGCACACAGTAATCATCGCGGATAAATTGGATCCAGGTCACATGTTTTTTTTCCCCCCCAACCTTTTTTTGAAACAGATGTGGATAGACTTTCCCTACCCTGATCCCTCTCCAGCTGCAACAGAGCAAATGCTTGAAGAAAAGTAATGACCACAGAAAGAGTCGGGGTGGGCGAGACAGAAATATTTTAAAAATCACCACTTTTGTTAGGAAAAATCATTTATCAGGAGAGGCGCTGGCAGAGTTTCAAAGTACAAGTAATCAGAGGCTGATGTTGCGTAATGGAAGGTGCTGGGACCTCCACTGTGCTTGGACGTTAGACTAGAATTGAGCTGCACCATACATACTCTGGGGATTCTGGTTTTACAGGAAAAACGTCAAAGCTGCCTCTGGAAACCTCTGTGAGGCCCAGGGACACGGGGCTCTGAAACAGGGGTGTGCAGCCTGTTAAAACAGCCCAAACGAGTTTCCCCCCCTCGCTGGAATCGGACCCTGCTATTCCACAGGTGCCTCTCCCTTGTTCTGTGTGTTTTTACACGTCCTCTATGCTTGCAGTGCAGCAGATGGCAGTCGGCTTAAGCACGACAGCAAATGCTTCAAAAACAGATCTCCCTGCCTCGCAGTGTGTGATTGGCCGAGGGGGATAACATCACACCGATGTGCTCCGATGTCACCGAACTCCATAAAGACAAAATAAAGTACAGCTCCACCACGGCCCAGAGGAAAAGCAGCATGTCACATGAAAGGGTAACACTAAAGAAGCTATCTGATGAGTCCCACATTTCAGAACGCCAAGAAGGATGTGTTGGCTCTGCACAAACCTGCCCCATGTGTGGGTAAACGGAGACGTTGTGGTCCAAGTTAACTCCAAAGTCCACTGAGAAACCATGAAATGCTTCCATTCTAATCTAAAACACGCAACACCCTCTTTTCAAGGTATCGATACGTGTGCTTAACGTGTTTTAAAAGGCCTTTTGTGCAAAGCTGATGACAAAAGATATCAAGGTGTCTCTTCATTGTGCTGCACGATGAACAGAATATCTTTATTGTCACATGCACAATGAAACTTCAGGGATGATGGATGGGACAACAGACGGGAGACTTGTCTGTGAGCAGGCGTGGCGAACGGTGTGGTGTCCAGAAAAGGCATCTCGTCAGAGCCTGGAACCGGCAGAAACCCCAACCCAGCGAGAGTGTGATGTTCGCGTGACACGGCAGAGACAGCATGTAAGCGTTCCAGCGAGGCTGATCTGAACTCAGCTGGGTACGCAGCTAAGGAGACACTTACTGCCTGCTTTTGTTCTTCATCCTACCAGCCAGCGTTCAGCAGAAAGAAAGATAAAAAGAGTCAGTAAACAGCACAGGAGATGCGGAGAGAGCAGAAGAGGGGAAAAGCAGGTCCGCGAGTGATAAACATGCAGAGTTCATCCACACGCAAAGAAACATTGATCAAAAGCTTGCACCAAGAGCTACTTCACATTGCTATAATTAAAGCAATCTATCAGAACGTCAGTCTGACCCACTATTTACCCCTGAAATGGTCAGGGTTTGTTGGGATGGGTTGGCTTTCTACAGGTACCATTAAAGCGCTTATGACATCACAGATCACCCTGAAGTTTTCCACTTTGAGTTTCTCAATAAACTATACTGCAATACTTTCATATATCAAATGTTTTTCATGCACTATATGTTTGTACGGTTACTTACATCAAAAGTGCAATATGTTACAAGCTTATTTATTGATGATAATCTTTCAGTGAGTACCACATTCTGCACACATGTATCCGTTGACTTACGTCCTATTGAGTAACGTCTGATAGCATTTATGTGTGAGGTTGACGTAGTGGGACGTTAGCGGGTCTATTAACCTTAACAGGCCCAGCTGAATAATGTGCCACTGCGCATATCTAACTTGTACTACGGTAATCATACAACGTATATATGATGGACAGCTACAATAAGCAGGTATGACAGATACAGTATCTCTATTGTGCTACTTCATTACATAAAAAGAAACTTACTGTACAATTAAAAAAAAATAATCACAGCTTCAGCCACTGTCGTCTTTCTCAGCTCCTACTGCTTCTGACTTCACAATGTAACGTAAAAGGAATCTAATTACAAAGTGCTGTGATTTTATATTTGCATTATTATTTGCTGTCGAGTGCTGTGGGTACATTACAATACTGTACTTAGAGTCTCCACTCTCCTCATAAATATGAAGATACGCCCAGACTGACTTGTGACTGGTGGCCCCAGTCAACATATACCTGTATTCTATGTTCTTTATTGAATGCAGTGTTGATTGCTGTGTAATTTATGTCGTCCTAGAGAGTAAATTTAGGTATAATTGCATTATGACAAAAATATTCTTGATCCTTAACTGGGCTGGTATTTTTAAATGTATATTAGTTGAATGTGCAGCACTACCCTCTAGTGCTGGAGATGGTACATTGCACCATTACGTAACTAAAAACACTTAATACTTGCACAATTATCCTCTATAAACAATTAAAATTACAGACACAATGTTAAATTAGCACTTAGTCATTTAAGAACTAGCAATGGATCAGGTGGACTCCTCTGGAGGAGACTTGCTTTAGTGTCATGGTCTCCAGCCTGATGAGTGAAGACAGAGATATAGTGTGACAGATCTCCTGTAAGGCATCCTGATTACTCAACGAAAAGCCACACTGGCTCACAGGCTGGGGGTCTGTGACTTGGGTACAGTGGGGGGGTG